GTCCAAAATAAACAGGGGATCTGGTGTCCTCGTCGTGCTGCGGGGTTCGTGAAGGTGGGGCAGTGTTCGGGAAGGAAGGGTCCAGGTAAGGGGCGGAGTCCGGCAGCCACACGCACTCCCCTCTCCGGTCCAAGGCGCGAGGGGCGGCGGCTTTATTCTTCTCTCTCCCCACGGCGCTTGAAGGGACTAGACGGCCCGGCATCCTGACCCAACGGCCGTGTAACGGGTGCGGTTCTCATCCGGCCTTTAACAGCGGCGGTGATGAGGCTCCATTCGGTTCAGGTGTGCCTCATCACACGCCGCCAGCCCTGGCTATTTCAGCGCCCCTCCTCTCTCACGCACCCACTCCTGTCGGGAGCCTGGCAAAGGATGGCGATTAAGGGACGGGGTGATGCTGATAATTAGGGGGGAGGCAGCCGACACATCACAATATATATATATATATATATATAAAATGTAATTATAACGAAATACAGTTACTCATATTTTGTATTTTAAATACGTAACGCTGTTACATGTACTTCGTTACTCCCCAGCCCTGTATATATATATATATATATATATATATATATATATATAGTATGTAGTGTTACCTCTTCCTTTTTTTGTCATTGTAGGGCAGAGTGATTCCTGTTAGTCTGAGTGGGTCAGACAAATCAGTAAAGAGCTTGAGATTGAGGAAAGAGCATTGGATATCACTCTTCGTCAAAGTGCGCTCACACTTCTGGGAAGTGGCTAGGTTCTCACTTCACATCGGAACGGCGAGTCAGAGAGCGATCAGTTCAAGAATTAGCCATGACAGACCATTTCTGCTCTCGAGGAGAGGGGAAGTGATGAGGGTGATTTCTCTCCCTCCTGGAAAAGGTGGCAATGGGACTCACACAAAATGTTCTGGCCCATGCTGATCTGAATCTAAAATGCCTTCTTAAACATGACTAATGTTTCTGTGTTTTATAGCTTGTCAGATTGATGTAGGGTTTCATGACGTGAGTCAAAATAAGATCTGATTTGCACCGTGCCTGCTGTTTCCCAAACACAGCGACCGTGGGCGATCAGCAACCCCCCGCTTACATTTAAAAATGTGCCGTGAGGATTAGCAAGCAATGCTAATTGTTTTCCACATCTCTGCTGAGTAATACTCTGTGGTTTAAGACAGCACTTCTTTACAGAGAACTGACTAATTCCTCTTGTCCTAGCAGGATTAAACTGTGCAAATGAAATTCAAATCAACCCGGTCTGGCCTTGTAAATTACTCGCAATCAAAGCACTTAAAGAGAGAGATGTGTCCCGACATAGTTTCAGTAAAGGTTTTTATCGCTCCTCATTGACCTCAGCTTCAGTCCGCGAGGATAAAAGCTGAACATGATATAAGCTTTTATGCGACTTATTGATTTTTCAGCTTTTTAACATTTAATTATTTGGATACAAAATTCCACTCTGCATACATCAGGAGCCATGAAAATCACACTTGAGCAAGATCCATCAGAAGAGGAGATTCATAATACCTCATTTACTTCCGTTCAGCCTAGCCAGCGAAGACAGCCCAACACATCTGGAGATGACAGTCGCAATGAGAGTAAATTATTATCAACGACGCCGTAGTGTACGACTGATGGTTGGTTTTGTTTTTTAATTAGTGTACATAAGTATTGGGCTGCCAGATGTCAGTGTTCGCCTGCCGTCCTTGAATCAAACGGTTCGTTCCTGGGCTGAAACTATAACAGCTGTACCCTTCCTCCCCCACCTGCCATCCTCAGACATGCAAACTTTCTTATAGAAAGAGCATACACTCAGAGAGGAAGACGATTCCAGCCTCAGCACGTGTTCCGTCCTGTAGAAGGTGTTTGCCTTTCTTGTTTGGTAACATAAACGATCTTGAAGTGTAATTAAGCGTGTCCTCAATCCTCGTTCCACTGCAGTACGGATGCTCTAATTAGTGCTATCTGAAGGGCCAGGTGGCCATCTTGTGTTGTCCCAGAAGAGGATAGTTATTTTGTTCCATTTGTGTTATCTAATTATTCATTTTAACATCTCCACCCTGGCTGCATATCCTCCACAACCCCCACGGTTTCCATTTCCATCTTGACTCTCGTAGTGTCAGCTCCGAAAGCATATTACGCTCACTCTCTCTTTCTGTTATTTTTTTCTCTTTCTTTGTTTTGTTATGTTCTCCTTATTCCCCCATGAGACCTGGTTTGTTTACACTGCCTTTTCCACATCTTTCTCTGTGCTGCTGCAACGGTAATCTCTCTTTCAAATATTTGTTTCTTCCATCACAGGATTTTCCGCCGTGCGTCGCATTCCCAGAATCTTAACTGTGACTCATCGCAGTCACTTTTTCATACTTGCCATCTCCCATACAAATCTATTCACTCTGCTCTGTAAGACATTCAGATGGTGCGCCGTTACTATAGCAGAGGTTGGACAACAAGTTCCACAGGTGTGGATTGTCACATTTCCTTCCGTTTTGAGCCACATGGTTGCTTGTGCATGTCACGGCTCAAATCCGGGTAGAAAACGGATGATGGATGGCCAGGAGATCTAAGCGGCCAGGGAAAGTAATTACAAACTTTGCCAAGGGTAGAAATTTTGTAGATAAGCATTACCGGAATGTCCAGGTGGAAAGAAAAAGCAAACAGATGAGACTCTGTGAAGGTCAAGATGCTGTTCTACCACAACAACAATAATGAGGCCACCAGCAATTCAGCTAGTTCTGTTTCCAACATGAAACATGAAATAAAGCATCACAGAGGGTTTAGTCCTTTCGCTGGCGATGGAAGTGGGCAGTTAAGGAACAGATTTCAAATGGGAAAAAAGGGAAGTCGTCACAATTTTCATGCTGTCCAGCGGGAATCCCTCAAGCTGGATGACTTGGCAGGCGAGTGAGTGTGTTATGTAGGGCAGGACAGATCTGGTATCTTGCCCAGGTTGGGTTAATTACGTCCCGTCAACCTCTGGGAAGAAGCCTGAAAAATTAACTGTCAGTATAACATGTGTTTAGGTGTGTGTGGGTGGATTTTCCCCCCAAGAGACTATCTATTCTTTATCATTCTGTGCAGGTTCATACAACATTGTAGGTGCATTTTGACAGCATAATTGCTTGATTGTGAGAATAGGGTCTTATTAATTTATGGAAAAGTGGATTTGCACAAAATCAAGGAAGTATTTGTTTAAAATATGAATAGAAAGAAGGAGAATAAGTATATACAAGTATATATGGCATATTTATAATATATATACACTCCTTTGAGGTATTACAGCACGTCACTGGTGGGACATCTTTCTACCTTATTTACCCCTAAAGGTTCATAGTAGTTACCTTAAGGGTTCATATTAAGGTACTAATATGCACCTTTTAGGGGTAGATAAGGTACATAATTGTTACTTTAAGGTTACTTCCACAGTGACCTTAAAGTGAAGCCTCAGAAGGTACATTGTTTTTCACATTTTGTCAGATAATATTTCAGGTGTGTTAAACAGCCAGTAGCATAAAAATGTCAAGCTAACATGTAAAATACGGAACAGGTAAAATGGAAAAATCTTCCAGAATGTGTATTCATTTAGCACACACACTCCTGCCCATCAATGGTTGATCCTGGAGACTTGAGTAACCCCAGAGTACAGAAGTTCAGATGGTAAAAATCAATGGAGTATGCAATAAACATAAGCAGCCTAATGTGTTTCTGCATCAGGCTTCACAATTCGATTCCTGCTCCTCAACATAATGGAGAGTTCCAGCAGGTGAAGGGGGCTGAAAACCGCTGTGATTGAAAGGTAATCTAATGAAATGACACATGATATTTTGCATCCGTCTCAGGCGGACGACTGTCCAACTCAAAAGAGGAGAGATGAATAAATAAATAAATTTAAAAAGAGGTTGTATTGCACTTACATGAATCGTGAGGATGAATGTGCACCATGACTAAAAGCCTGACTGTATGTAAAGCAAAGAGAGCGGGCAGTGTGCTATGAGAGGTGCTGTGTTACACTGTTGATGCTGTTTAGAGTGTATTGAGACGTCTGTATGTGTTTCTGTGGTGTCAGATGCACCATCAATATGAGACATAATTTTTCCGTCATGACTTGCAAGTAAAAAAAATAAAAAATAATTTCATAGACTCACATTGAAAGAGGGAGCCAAGTGTTAGCAAAGTAAATAAATAAATCACCCAGAAAAAAACAGCCAGAATAACATTGCAACCACTTTTTCCCCCAGAAAAAAAGGAGAGAGCAAGAGAGAGAGAGAGAGAGAGAGAGAGAATGTATTGCTGTTGCACTGTTGATATAATCTGGCATATATAGACATAGTAAAACTTTACTCTAAAGCAGGGGGCTTCAAACTGGTGAAATGGGCACCCCCTGGAGTCCACAAGGGGGTGCTATAGGGGGTCAGCAAAAATGTTTAGGGGACGGAAAGTTTGAAAATGGAACAAAGCATGTGCTATGTCCCATGTGCTATAGTTTGCATATAAGATTCGAGTCAGAGAAGTGTGCAAGATTTCTCGCTTAATTTCTTAAATGAAAATCGAGCAGGATTTCTTCAAGGAAAGACTCTTTTGTATTGGCAGATGTGAATACCAAGGCATATATTTCCCTGGGCAGGTTGACCTCTCCACTCTCTTCCCTCTTGCTATCTTTCTGACTCAGTCTTCACACGTGTTCATTGGAGGTGCCTGCAGCCTTTATTATCCTAGTCATTTCTCAGCTCTCCTTCCAAAGGTCATAAATTTGGCTCTTAACTGTCTCTGTGAAGCAGAGATCAGGGAGAGAGATTAGATGGTGCACACTAGATCGATGGCACATGGCAGGGGCATGAGTTCAGTTCTCTTTCATATAGAAAAACTTCCATTCACTGTTTTTCAAATGGTCCGCTTAATTGAGAAACATGGCACCCTTTTATTTTATTTTTTTTTCATTTATTAAGAAAGCTGATAGAGCACTACATGTTCCTTCTTTTGAATTTACTCTTTTTTAATTGCAAAGACGTTCTCTACTGTTATCAATTATTTGAAGGTTATTTATTTGTACAGGTTTTGTAGCAAGTGTAGTGAGAGATGGACACAAAAAAACAAGATTACATGTTATGTGCATTGTAGATGTTTTTATTAATATTTGTATTAATATTTATTTGTCTAGAAATAATATTTCAATAGACATAATTATTAATATTTTGTTTGTTATTATTGCATTTTATTACATTTTAAAAGTGCTATTTGTTGTATTGCTAGTGCTATTTACTGTTGCTAATATGATCTTTTCTCTCATCTCTCTTTCAGGTCTGCCAAATAGTGTTGGTCCAGTTAGTAAGTAAACAAACTCAAAGATCTATATCAACCGGAAGTGCGATATGAACAGCTTTGTTTCTCACTTCACTTCAGGTCCACTTCTGGTTAAACATCTATTTCTGATTTTCATTAGATCTATCGGATATAAACTGTGCAACCTAATCTGATTGGTTTGGAAGTTGGAACAGGATTAAGTTAAACTATTTATAGAAAACAGCAGTTTGCCATAGTGAAGTTTATGGATGGACTAATTCAAATGCTGACTTAACGCTTTGCATGCATTTAGAATACCATTGTTTTTTTTGTTTGTTTGTTTTTTTCTTTTAGATGTGTTATAAATGCTACAGGGGGTGTAAAGCAGTTCATGATGTCGTCTGAAGTAGAAAGAGGGGAAGATCATTTTAATATGAGAAATGCAGATCTGTGTTGTATTATCTGGTCATGCCAGGGGCCTCATAAGCCAGCAGACAGATAGAGTTACAGGCGCAGGGAGGTTGAATGTGAAAACTGGAGCCACAGAGATATTGAACAAGTCAGAATGCATGTAGAGCCCTGAATATTTCCACACGCTTCACTTCTCCTGAGTCCAGGATAAATATACACATTTCCTCTTTGGATAGATTGGTATAATATATCCCAGGTGTATGGAATAACATTACACAAATCAAATATTCAATAATGAACATTGTAATTTTTACAAGAGTGAATGGAGTCTGATTTATACATTTGATGTGTCCAGTGAACAAAAAAAACTTGCACTAAGGTTGCACTTTTCATCAGAAATGTATGTCAAACCAAGTGGACACTCCCTTCTCCTCTTCTCAAGTGTGTTTTGTATTTGGCCGTATAGCATGGCCTGTGCTGTGCCATTTCTGCATGGCTCACTCCATTATTTCTTATTTCAAACGTCATGCTACTGTACCATGAACATTCACTCACTGTCCTCATGGTGAATTTACACACCTCCATCCAGAAAGACACAAAGAGGAGACACTCACAATGCAACCAGGGTCCCAAACAGCTTCATGTTACTTTAGCACTAAAACTGTATTCTGGCCATCACTATAACAATTATAAACACAATTCTCTCTTCCTTCACAAAACTGTAGTGAGCGCTCGTAAAGAGTGTCCTTGAGGACGGAGATGTTATGCCCGAGACTGAAAAAGAAAACACTGCAGTTTCCTCAGAGTTGCCTGAGGGTAATTGAATTCTTTATTGACTTTTCCCAATTCTATTTCAAGTTTATTAAGCCTGCCAGAATTGCCTAATGCAGGCATTAGAGCAAAATTAATATTTTAAGATGAGATTTTGCCTGTACAGGATTGCCTTTCATTACTGGGTTTGGCATTGATTAAAATATGTCACTTCTCATTTATCCAAATTTTCACTAACAAAAACATTAATGAAGAGCAGATGCGACGAGCATCACTCCTAATCACTTGCTAATACGGAACACATTTTATATCAATAATGAAGCTCTCAAAGTGGTCCCATGGGTATCACGACAGTGGCTTCTGTGTGTGAGTGTCATGTAATGTGATGAGAGACGAGAGCTGGATTTGTCCATCACTCTGAGGTCAGATCCCTTCCAAACTGATAGCGACTCCAGTGGTTGTCAATTGCTGCATGCTCACTCTTTGTGTCTTGTTGGGTAAGAAAATTAAAGAAAACTTCCATGAAAAGGGTTGTGGAAAAAAGTGTTTCTCCAAATATTGGATTAGTTTGCTGGATCCAAATGGTGCATTTACGTTTTTTTTTTTTTTAAGTTTACAAATTAAAGCTAAAGGCTAAGAATTATTAGAAATAATTGTAAAAAAAAAAAAAAGTTTTTTGTTTTTTTTAATGATATAACAAACAAAGCAAATTTATTGATTAGATTATGCTGAAAAACCAAGTACTAATCTAAAGAAAGAGAAGCACTTTATGATGTTGACAAACCCTGAACTCACATTATCTTATTAATCTTAAAGAAATTATTTGCTTTTCATCTTTAATTTCTCTCATAAAATATTACTGGAGCTTGAACTGAAAACTCATAGTTAAGTTCACGGAATTCCCCAAATCACATGGAAAAAGAATAATTTCTCCCAATGTGATTGGACATAGAGGCCATTTCATAATGGGTCTTCAAGATGGTTTTACTCTGTCAGTAACCTGCGTTTGCATGCATTCCGAGTCCCCAACCACCATGCTATGTCCCTGGTGAAAAAAAAAAAATCAATTTCAAATTCATAGACGTGTCCTTACTGGAATTCCTGCACCCTGTCCTCGTTTCACAGTGTGTCCCACACACTGAGGTCAACCACGAAGCAGCACATAAGGGACTTAACCATGTTTGTGTTGGATGGATGGAGCATTTGGTTTGGTCCTCTCACTTTAGTGCTGCCTCTGACATTGACACGAGACTGCTCCATTCCCAGCCTTAATATTTCCGCCTCTAAGGAAATGAATTGTATGTAATTATGAGGATATTCCCATGAAATTGTCATTTCAGTTGTTAGCTGTTTTTTGTCATACAGAACCACACTTCAAATGAATCAATTTGATAAATTGAACAAGCATCTCAAGCAACCATGATTACACATGCACACAATCCAGTCTCACATGGTGCACCCGAAAGACTGACAGAATTTCCCTTCATCGCTGTCAGCCGTCATTCCCATGCATTAATATAGAGTAAGCCACAAAACACAGCTCAATTACATACAATCTCTAGAGATGATCTGTGATTGGTCTATTGGTTGCTTGTTCTCATCGAGCCTAACAGCTCAACTTTATGAATGACCCATCTGGAGATGTGTGTAGCTGTTTATGTGTACATGAGTCCAGACTGGACCCGTCCTAGTGCATCTAACATACGACAGCCACTGCATTCAATTAACACCTGATTTCTCCTGTATGCATGCAGTTCGGCAGAACATTTCATCCCTAGGTGTCGCTAACCGAAATCAAGGTAGGGTAAATTTTTAACTTGGATACAATTTCCTTTGATCTGACTCACAGAACGATTTTTAGGCTGTTGTAAAAGTGAAACAGATTCAGCAGAAGTTTGCTGACAGCTAGTCTTTTTTTTCATATTTGTTGTACTAAATCATTCCAGATGGACAAAAGTCTTCTTTTTGCTTTTTCTCTTTCACGTACCAGTTTCTGACATGTCTGAAAGCTGTGAGATTTTTGAGCAATCAGCATTTCTAAGAAACAAGCTGAACAGCCATAAAGACACACACAATGATTTAAAGCGTTACGCCCTCCATTTTAATTACGCATGGCGCTCTCTCTTGGGCCCCCTCAATATTTTCTCAGTCCTGCTGGGGAGTTTTTATAGATAATCCACTGCACAGATGTCCAAAAAAAGAAGCATCACACAAACAACGGTCCTGAATAAACAGCGTTTTTGATTGAATTGGGGGTTGGAGGTTAGTAAAAGACCATGCTCACTGCCCCTTGGTTTGTTTTGTGACTGCAAGATGAGCTGATAACTTTGGGATTGTTCTGAGCCCTGTTGTTCTGCTGCTGAGTCGGACTGACAGCGGGACGTGGGGATCTAAGCCTTACGCGCTCTCACACAAGAAGTCTGGTGAAGCTCAACTAGACTAATGCCAGCTGAGCAGTTTCTGCCAGCAATGCAGGCTTTTTCTTTTCTAAAGCCATCGAAAACTTCCAACCACAGCAGCTGAAGTGAATGGAACGTGCACTGTGCAAATTTGTGTTCTTTTTGTATCTTTTTTATTATTTATGACAAAGCAACAGGATTTAAATAGTCTTGTTTTATTGTCAACTTCATGCTTTTAGTACAGACAGTATGTAGTGTTCATATTATCATTAGGGTTTCTGTTTATTTAATATGTTTTTATTTGATTTATTTTGTCTTTATTTTGTCTAATAGCTCCTCAAGTTGCTTTGTCAACCGTTCCTTCTGTACAAGTTGCAAACAGTAAGAGAGGTAGGAGGATTAGATTCATATACTCTCACTATTCTGTGTCAGTGTATGTTGTCCGAATTACCCCCTTCACCATGCCCTGAATGAATCCAGAGTCCTGTACCTTCTGTACTTGCAGAACACCTACCCTTGACCCTACTATTCCCACTTAGCATAGTATCAAGATATACCAGTAAAAAGATACTGATTTTAGTGTATTTAGCCTACTTAATTGTTTACTTTGTTTTATGATCAGCTCCATCCTGAATCATCATAGAAGCTCTGTACCAAATTCCTTAGAGACACAAGTCTTTGAAAATGGATGAATCAGAAGGGAAGTGTTCAAATCATGTTGACTTTGTCAGATTAATGGGTTATATAGTGTTTCTGATCCGAGTGTGAATGAGAACATTGAATCTGATATAATTCCACAGTGGCTCACAACGAGAAGCCCGTCAATTTTTTTTTTGTTAAAGTGGGCCCTCTAAAACATTTTCCAGGCAGAATGATTGACATATCCAGGCAGCTTTAGAGATCGCTTTACAGGAGATATCTCTGTCTCAACTCCTCCAGTCGGGGGACGGAGGAAAAGGCTGCAGAGGAGGCCTGACCTCAATCCAGATCTCGATAATGAGAAGCCCTCCATTTCTCCCGAAAGCCCTGGAATCATCTCAGGAGGGAGGGACGTGGAGGCTTTATGAGCGTAACTCAGTGTGAGAAGATTTGTCAGACCCCCTGGGTTGAGGGCACTGGCCAGTTGACCAAGTGTCCCTGGCAGGTCAGGGTAATGCCATCAGTTTGTTACGTCATGCAGCATCCGAGCATCGAGATTCAACTTCACTGTGAAAGTAGGACAGACTCCTTGCGGGTCCTGGATAAACATTGTTTGGTTTCTTTGGAGGCTATGGGGAAATAGATAGGAAGTTATTTCTGATTTGCTTGTGCTATTTCTCATTTTGGAGCTGACAGAATCAATACTGGAAAAAAAATGCTTTGTCTTTCATTTTTATGGTAGTAGTTTTGTGGAGAGGATACAGTTTGTGTACCCGTTTTCGACCTGAGAGCCTTTGTTATTTCGGGGGCATAGAAAATAGAAGCCATTGTTTTATTCTCGTGTTTGAAAGTTCCAGCTCCTTCACAACACCCTTCCATCATTTCTGTGAGACAACTCTCCATGAGCAATAGAATATAAATACAGCGGATGTAAATTTCAAATCGCATGTGCACTTGCATTCTGCCGAGATTGAAAATTGCATCTGTTTGTGTTTAATTTCCGTGTAACATTCCTGTTTTTATTTTCCTCTTCATCCCTGTGGTTTGCTCGAGGTGAACTCTCTAATAACAACACCGCTTCTCCATTCATCTTACGGATCTTACATCTAATAACGCTTCTGCTATTTCAGACCATCCAAATCTCGCATGCCATGGTGCCCCTCTTCTGCAGCGCCGCCGCAACTCACACACACTTACCCTAAACACAGCCACATCTCTCTCCCCTTTTTGCAAGACTGCGAATGTTTCAGTCACTCCAATCGCTGCAGTTACATCGAGGTGCTAAACACCGTCATTTGCGTGAGCTGTAAGCACAACACTAGAGGGCAGCACTGCCAGCTGTGCAAGCTTGGATACTACCGCAATGCCTCAGCAGAGCTGGACGATGAGAATGTTTGCATAGGTCAGTCCTCCAGCACTCCCATCCACCAACACGGCTTATCGCACATCACACTTCCCCCAAATCTGCCATCTGGCCTTCTGTTTCTATTGCTCCATCATCCTCCATCACTTCACTCCCTTCTCTGTATCTGTCCATCCCTCTGTCGTCACCCGAGTCTCTTCACGCATGCTTGTGTGCGTCAGCAAAGTCACGTTGATCCAAATTCCCTCAAGTCTTTGACTACAAAACCAGCAAGTATGACGTGAAGATCCACAGCAGAGTAGGACAGAAGACATTGTAGGGAAAAATAGTGTAATTTTTAATGTTTGTTACAAAGCTAAGAAAAGGAAAAGAAGAAGGTAGAACGGAGAACAAGAACAGACATTAAGAAAAAAAGAAAGCCAGACAGGTGTCATTGAGAGACAGAGGTGATGTCTGCCATCACACTTCCCCAGTGAGGTGTCTGGGAGGGCTCGCACCCACAGAAAAAGGTGCTGCGTGTTGCATATGTCACTCTCGGAAAGAAGAAGCAAGAGAAAGAAGAGAGCAAGAGAGGTGTCTGGGAGCAGGTCGCGACTGTGTGACTTACACACACATCTTTAGGTGTTACAGGTCACAGACTCTGACCTCCACCTCAACCTAGCAATATCTGTAGTCACAGGAGGGCCACAGAACTGACAAAATATGTGAAAAGTGCATCTTGAAAGAGGTTTATGTTAGTGTTTTAGCAAAGCATTAATAATTAATAAGCATTAATGTCTTCTACTTAGAAATTAAACAAGTACCTGCTTTGTAGCAAAACCTTAAGGCTATGTTCACACTTGTAAAGAGTTCTGTTGTGCTAGGCATCTGAAAACGTTGATGAATTTATACTGAAAAGAAGTAGGAGAATTTTAAAAAGGAATGATTAGTTTCCTCCAAAAAAGTAATGTTTAAGAACAAATGTACTGCCGTGATCAGAAATGCCATTACACGCATCAGGCTACATGTCCAAGTTCTTCAGAGAATTAATCAGATTCTCTTTTGAATTGATAGTATTAAAACTTTTGTGTTTTTAATACCCCTCAGTAGCTCAACATCTGCTCAAATTAGTTGTCATCTTCATACAGTAGATATCGCAGAAATGCAGGTTTTGAATGGCACTTCAGCACCATAAGCAGAACCCGGTTAATTGGCCAGATGTCTTTGGGTGATCCATGACCTGGAGAGTTACTGACATTGCCAAAAACTTATAGTCAGCATGAAATCAAAATTGACTATTTACTGGGATAAAATCAAGTCACACTTTCTTTTTTTCCGATCAGTATCTTGTTTTACTCAGAAATACACAATTAAAATTATGCAAGTAAAATGCATTGAAAATGCGACTTTATGTAGACTTTAATAACATGGTCACCTTTAAGGACATTTTCTGTTGTATCAAAGGATTTAATTATGAGATATTTCTGAACAGAATCAGTGTCAGAATCAGTGGACAACAATCAAATTGGCTAATCAGGAATCCTCCACCACGTGTCTGTCTTTCTGTTTCTCTTTTGTATGTTCCCTTTCCTTCATGCCACCCATTTTTTTTACACTTAACAAAATATAGAAATATATTCTTGTAAAAAATGTTCAGAATGCACAGTGCAGTCATTCGGTAACGGTCAACGCTTTTGCATTATGGGACTTCCAAGATGTTGAACATTCACAAACATTCGTTTTCCTTACTAAACTAAATGCCATTGTTTCCATTTTCCACCCTCACTCACCTTCCCCAGCTGATGCTTCTCATTTTATTCCTTTGAAATGGTAGATGTGAGGTAAATATTCAGTTATACATGTTATAAATCTGTCCTTTGTAGACTAGCAATGTGCATGAAGGAGGCAGCAGAGGTCCATTTTGAGCGAAAATGCTTTTTGTGTAGAGGGACAGAGGGACTTTACTCATGAGCTGATCTGAGAGGCTGAAGACCACAGACCCCATCTCTCCACTGTGTGTATGTGTGTGTCTTGTTTCTACAGACTGTAATTGTAATCCCTTTGGCTCAGACACTGATCGCTGTAATGGCACAGGATATTGTAAATGTAAGGAGGGAGCGACAGGGGCTAAGTGCCATGAGTGTCTGCCAGGATATTTGTGGGACAATGGCTGCAAATGTAAGTAGAACCTCCACCCAACCTGCAGCTTCAGTCCCCTGCTCTCTTTTGCCTCTCTCATTCTCTTCCCCTCCCTCCCTTCTTCTCTTCCTCTTTTTACTTTCTCTGTTTGCTGCTGCTTTATTGGCTTACCCGGGAATGAGCAGCTGCACTTGGACTGACTTCCATTCAAGGCTTAGTCACACCTGTTATACTGCCTTGTTAGTGGTTTAACTGCAGAATTAATTTTGATGGAATTATTATAATCATTAATTAGCATAGTTTTTATTAATAGTATTATTGTAGAATTTTTCTCAAGCACAGAGATAAACCATGCAAACAATCCTCAGGCACAATCCCATGCACATGCATTTGCGCAGATGAACACAGACAGCTGAGCTAATATTTGGAGTGAGCAGAACATTTGACGCCTGCGCTGTTTTCTCTGGCTGTTTGCTGTTATGGCCACACTGTGATGGCTGGTTCTTCTCTCTTGGCTCCAAGCACTGTGGTTGAAACGATCCATAGGTCAAGTATTGATTTGTATTCTTCAATGGGCTTCCAGCATCAAAGGTCAACATTTACCAAAGCATCAGATATCTCAAAGGGACATTGGCTGTAATAATGTGAGATGGACAGTCCAGTAAATATGTGTATATTGAGTTCAGTGCGGCTTTGAACCAAACACAACAAGGCTGGTTTAGTGTGAGAAGCAGAAATTCACAACATCACATGTCACGAGATTAAAGTAAACCAGAGCGTTTGGTGCAAATAGTGACATGTGGCAAATGCACTCCCATTACTGTCTGTTCTGAGAGACATATTGGAAAGAAATAAAGAGGTATGACTCTTTATACACATCCATCATTCACCAGCATGAAGATCCATTTCCATGTGACTGTTTCAGCCGATGGTATATACTACGGTAAAGCACCATAACCATTTTAATTTGATGTTGTCATCAACACAGACACTTTTTGTTAGATGTCCTAGACAAGAGATTTAAGTTTGTTGCATTCATCTCATTCAAAGTCCCAAAGGCCACAATGTGTGTAATAAATGCAATCTAAGGCTCATTTTCCAGATCCCGTCTATCTGTATGCAGATTTCGGTATGCAATTAAAGCTCAAATCTTTCTTCAAATAAGCCTTTTCTTCTCAGTGCACCATGCAATCTACTGCTGTTCTCAATAAATATTATCCCTCTTATCAAAAGCAAACCCAATAAATAGCTCACTTTATTCTCTTATTACCGTTTATTTACATGCAAGCAAATTGTGAATGCATAATTAGAGGTTGAGCACATTTTTCCTGCTTGTGAATCCACATGCTTTAAACATACAGACCTTCTGTTGCTCTCTTAAAATAGGTGCTTATATTTATTAGATGAAAATGCCTTCTCATGCATGGGCTCTAGAGTGTGGCGTAGGCTATAGAGGTTAAACTTTGTAGGACCAACAGCAGAGTAAATAGTTTCCGTTGGAAGTTAAAGGTGTTTGTTAGCACCCATAACAGCTATAAATCACTGATGTGGCTCTTCTTGCCTCAGCACCTTTTCCTGGTCATCAGGGGATATCAAACTGAGGAGACAGAAATAATTGAACTCACAGGGTGAACCAAAAAGACCCAAACTCTTGAGAGATACATTACCTGCAAAACTGCCTCTTTTAAGTCTTTCTTCAGATGAAGCACAAGAACACTCTTGCCAATGGCCACAGTTGTGGAAAAGGCAATCGATCAATTTGCTCTCTTTCCCTCAAAGAGGAGGTGTTCTAAAACTCTTTCCACAGACACAGACCACTCATTACCTCTGACTTCTTTCTGTACAATCTCCTTTTCATGAACAGTTTGGTAAAAGGCAACATTGATGTCTCAATTGCAAACAGTCAATATGTCGTACACTTCTACAGAATCACTTCATTTATAATAGGAAACATCTACAGTAGTCTAAATGTGTTTTGGGCAATAAAAGACATTTTAAATCTCCTATCCAGAACACTGAATCGATAAAGCCTCTTTAATAAGCAATACGGTTGTTTTCATTCATCATTTCTTTCTTAAAGGGCAGACTAAACATGGTAAAAAAAATGTGCTCAGAGACAGCTGATGGTCACGTCATAACTACACCAGAGTAAACCAGAGTAAAACATGCACTATTAAAAAAAAAATTATTGGAAGTTGTAAATAAAACAACGATTTTTAGAGTACATTTTACAAGAAAATATTTCAATCTTTCTACTTCAAAATTTAAATTTTGAGTGAATTTCTGAGTGAAAATTGTTTCAAAGTAAATTCTACACCAATTTTTTTCAGTGTACTGTTGTTGTTAGATTCTTTTATTAAGAAAATATTTAGATAAACTAATCTAATCTAGATAATCTAATCTAAATTCAAACTCAAGTAGCTTAGTGAGGGCAGTTAGAACTTGGTTATAATGCCCATATATTTCTGTACATTTGGACTCTGATTTCAACAAGTCTTTAAAGATCGGACAGAGAAGACTAAAACAAGTGAAGTGTCAAATTAGAATAATTTAGCACATTTTAATTTACTGTAATTATTATTATTATTATTTAAAAAATTGTGTCAGTATGTACTAAACATTAAGAAATGTATGATTTGCCTACAAATACTAATGAGACTAATACTAATTAAACACATTCAATCTTTATGCATGTTAATCACAGATTATTCAAATAGCTTGTTCATCTTGCAGGTACAATTTCTGGGATTTTGTTTTGTGGTACGAGTCCGGGTTTTCACTAGGGAACGATTGATCTGCATCATAAAAAGACTCGGCAGTGATGAACAGAGGGAATTATGGACACAAACGGGCTCATTTTTTCCTGACTCAACCATAAAGCCTGTATCCACACAGGAGATGGAGAGAGAGAAGCTGGAGACTATGTAGTTCTGCCAGCTCCCTAATCAGCCTGTTATGACTGGGAGAGTTACACCTCCTCTCTCTATCATCCAGCTCTTCCTGTCAGCTCAGTCCATCCCAAAATAGTTCAGTAACAGCCATTAAACAGATGCTGCAAAGCCCAAGACCTCTCAGAAGCATTCCTCGCAAACTGATAGAGGTCAATGTTTGTGTGTTAGATGATTATTTTCCAATCAGCAGGATTACAGTGCTTTGAAGATGTGAGAGGCATGGCTTGTTCATCCGTTTTTATTTGTCTCTGTTGGTTTTGCTAGTTTGCGCTGGAATTTGTTTGCCTGAAGCTTGCTCAACATCTTACGTCCGAGGTCTGGCCTTAGTGTCCCTGTTGTTAAATATACCAATGCACCTGATACACCTGTGGGGTGCAGTGCCACCATGGGATGCAGAATGCAAGTCATTGTCAGGGATTTGGAGAAAAGTCTGCTGTGTTAATGGTTTGGGTTAATGACAGTGCTGAGATCTCTGAGAGACATTTTTTTTTTTTAAATAACTATTTCGAGGTGGCCGTTGAGCAGGGATGCCTTTTTGAAACATTTTTAATAAAATCTCAAGAGTTCATTTTTCTGTGAGAAAAAAAGTCATCAATATTTTTCACTTACGAATTTCTATTAATAATGATATTACGTTTTCTACTTGTGATTCATTTCAATCAATACTTTGCCTGCACTTTGTATTGACTCGTTCTGTCTATTTTCAGCATTATATGAATATATGATATCTCAGGATAGAGCTCTATGTAATCATAGAAGTGTTCATACTTGTTTGGGTGTAGCCTATATGTGTGTGTGTGGGTTTTTGTCTTCTGCTTACCCTTTTCCTCTCAATGCCACAGGGGGGGGGGGGTGTTGTCTTCTGCTTTCCCTTTTCCTCTCAATGCCACAGCCCGGGTGTGCGACAATGAACTTCTGCGTTGCCAAAACGGCGGTGTGTGTGTGAACAATATCCGTTGTCAGTGTCCTCCGGCGTACACCGGCCTGCTGTGTGAGAAACCGCGGTGTGAAAACGAGCCAGGAGGCTGCGGAGGGTCGGACTCGGGCCAGGCTTCCCTCCACCCCCCTGGGCTGATCCTGCTTTTGCTGCTGTCCATCCTGGGTCCCGTTTTCCACGTGGAGATCTGCTAGACCACAGTCCTTTGAGAGGCAGATCTCCAACTGTCCAGCTTCTTCTGTATGAGCAGCGCACCAGACTCACCGACACTTGGCCGGCCATGTGGAATGTGCCCAAATATCAAAGCGAAATTTCTGAGGATGACAGACAAAATACAATAAATAATACATCAATAAAAATAGTATTTATAAAAATTGATTCAATATGAAAATCGAAAAGTAAAAAAAAACATCAAGGTGTTATTTATAGAATTTACCTGAGCATATGCTTCATGAAGCAAATAAGAGGAAGTAGAGACGTGAACTAAGCCATAATAGATACTCACTCCCCTAACAGAGCGAGAGAGTGACAGGGATTGGAGTGGACAAGACTCATCCCTTTCCTCTCTTTATCACCACGGCAACGGGAGCTGCGTTCAGCCAGCGGCATGTACAAGTAAAGCCAGCTGCCGCCTCTCACCTGAACCATTCTGGGTATCATGTTGGCTGTAGACTGCTTTTGGCTCTTGTGACACGGAGCGATGGAAAACTGTCCGGATTTTTTGAACTGGCAATTGAAAAAAAAAAAAAAAAAAGCAGTAATAATATGGAGAGAGACTCAAGTAAAGAAACAAGCATTCTTTGCTGTCAGTGCATTGTGGATATAAGGAAATCGATTCAGACTGTCACATTTGATCCGCTTTCAAATTGAGCTCGTTCTGCCAACACGTCCCATCCCACCTCGACCCACCCTCGAAAATAAACTTTAGTGTCCTTTGTGTCAAAAGCCCCGTCCTTCCTTCGCCCTGTGCTTTTGTGAATGTTATTCTGTAACCCTTGATATTTTTTTAATATATATCATTTTTGGGTTTTCCTTTAAGTCTGTGTGATGTTAGTCACACTCATGTGGCACACCCCCTTATCCTCCAAAAAATATGTCCCG